ATATATATATATATATATATATATATATATAACCTATAACATAGGTTACATTAACTATTGATACAGGTTATATACATATAACCTATAATGTAGAACAAATTTTCGTTGACCAATGAGGCCCAGAAGATGTAAAAGATTGGACAGCTACTAAATCGTTCGACAGCCATATTTATCGCGTCATTTCGTTCAATTGCTGGTTCCATCTTATTAAAACGAGATAAATTTTAATTAACGCAAGGCACGCAACTCCGACCAAGGTGCCGACTGTTTCGACCAAGCAGTAATGATAGTATCTGAATCTATCAAAGTAGTATCTGAAAGTAATTTTTCTGTTTCTCGGCCTCGCTTGCGCTTCCGTCCCGTCCTCTTCATCGGCCGTTGAATGTTCCACATACGTACTCTGCGCAGCTTTGTTTTCTGTTAACAGTGAAAACCCTGTTTGCGGTAGAACCATGGCCCTAGACACGCGTGGCACGACTTGACGAAACTTATCGTCCGATATCTATTCTGCTCTCCTAAAAAATCCTCCCGCGCGAGATGACAATCGATCGTCCTGTAACACGTGTATAAAGCAAAAAATAAAAGCCTAGTAAACCGAACGATACGTACGTGCGTGTCTGACACTCTGTACACGCACACGCGCCTCTTGAAGCTTTCTTTTAATAATTGTTTCACAAGATAGCAATGATGAGAGCGAACGCGCGGGATATGCCTCTCGTTCGTCTTAATTTTCACGAAACGCTGGAGGATAAATCACCTGCCCGAACTTTCTCTCCCGAAAACGGTTCTTAATTACTCAAAAACTTCGAAACGTGCGAAACCAAGAAGGCAAACAACGAAAGTTTTTCCGGCCAATTACCGATCGATTCACGCGCAACGTTGTCCGCTCGATACGACACGATTTCGCAATAACCGTGCGAAATGATCGATCGACCTGGCACATGGTATAGCTAGCGTGACGGGTGTAATTGGGAAAAATTTTGGAAATTTCAAAATGCACGCGGCAGAAGAGAGAGTTGCTGCTCGAAAGATCTCCATTTGAAAGCTGAACTTGAATTCGACGACGAAACGGTTCGGGGAACGTCGCTGTGCAAACGAAATATCTACACCAATTTTTGGAATTGCGACTACTACGATGGAAACCAGGTGAAACATCACAAAATAAACGATATACAGGGTGATTCACGTAACTTGCACACCTGAAATAGCGTCTAATGAAAAATTGTTTAATACAAGAATTGTATTGGTAAATATAGGTTTCGAAATTTTTTTTTTTTTTTTTTTAGTTAGATCGTATACATTTTAATCATAAATCGTAAATCGAAAGAATATAAAGAATTCCAAGTAAAAAAGTATTAAGCCACTTTGGCGCTGAGCCAAATGGTTAACCTAGTGGAGGATGAAAACTGCATTAGGACCATTCGCTTGCCACACGTTAATGTTGAAACCATGCAAATACAACTTTTGCATCACAAACAATTTTTCATTAAACAGTCATCCCCACTGTTTCTTTCGATGCCAATTTACGGAATACACCAGCCTTCTGAAGCGTTCACTTTCAGTCGCAAACCGTGGACGCTTATCAGAAATTAGACAGTGGGTATCTTCATCGCATGATCGCACGTGGTTCTTTCCAATTAATGTAGGAAATGAAAAGATAGTTACGCCGAAATCAAGAACGTCCACACTGACAAGAATCCAGTTGTTCTATATTAATATTTATCACGTTTCGTGGCAAGGCATTTTTGCCTTTTGTTGTCGTTCAGGCCATTTGATATTTTGACTAAAGGGTTGATATCGTTCAGGCCATTTGATATTTTGACTAAAGGTTGATATATTATCACACAACAGGCCATTTGATATTTTGACTAAAGGTTGATATATTATCACACAATCTTTCATTGTAAAA